GGGAGACTTCATGCGCAGCATCTGCGTCGAAGACCGCGGCGTCGACCACGTTACCGTCACCTCCACAGGTATGCGCCTCATAACTGTCCTCATAACCCTCTCTGCCCGAAGTGAGTATAAAGTCGCATGGCAGAGTGAAAAGGAGGCTCGCGAGGGCAAGCTTCTTAACTACTGCGCGACGCTGGCTGCTGCTTAATGAAAGCCGCTTATCTCTCCTCTGAACCAAGCACTTAGAGCATGCACGCAGACGACTTAGCAGCGTGTGATGAAGCGTTAATACGAAACGACTAAAACAGAGCTTTTCTGGGATGTAAGAAAGCCGAGAAACAAAAAAAAGGACAGAGAGAAATCTGGAAAAGTTTTTTTTTTATTTAAGATTTTCTTCATGCCGCAAATAAGTTGAAACACGGCGAAGTGCGTATGCTCCAAATAATCAAATTCTATGAGTCCCAGTGTCTGGCTATCACGGAGATCAGTGTTACTTAGAATGAATGAAAGACACGTGAACAACCATAGTAGACCTATATACTGTTTGACATTTGCCCAATCTATGCTTGGTAATTAACGCACAGTGCACAATCTCTTCGTTTTAGGGTGTCTGTTCCTGTTATTGCCAAATAATGTTTTCTTCTAATGAAGTGCAATCGTGTCACCTTTATAATAATACATGCTTAACTGCACTATAATAAAGCTAAAAGTAAATACTTAGCCAAGCTTTAATTTGAGTTAGTTGATATAGCATTGTGATGTGGTTGCGCTCAGCCAAAGACACAAAGAAATGAGGGAACAAGAGGACACCTGTCCTGTCCTCTTGTTTCGTCATTTTTTTGTACATTTGGCTCATCGCATATAGATCAACTACATTACAACTCATGCTCGACCCAAAATACTCAAAACATATATCCGTAAGTATTGGTGTGTCCTTGACTCCATTTGCGAAAGCTCTATCATCTTGAAAGACACAGAAGTTGACTTGACCCCAAGTGACGCTTGCGTGTGCAAACGCTAATGCGTTTTTGCAAACAAATTTTGATTTCATCCAATATTATCCTATACCGGATACTAATTTCTGCCACTATCCTAATGTGAATCTTGTAGCAGTTTTCATCTGGTATAGCTAAACTAATTGATAAATTACCCTTTGGATTCATTGTTCCAGTGGAATTTACAATGGACATTGATGAAGCAGTAGGGTTTTCAGCTTTATTATATTGACCGAAATCTTTCAGTATTCTATGAGCACTTTTGTTTTGCCTTCGCAGTGGAAACTATGGAAAGTAGTTCCGCTGTATAATACCAGTCACAAGGAGCTCAACCGTGAATTACAGTCTGATCATGGTGGCCAGCAGCTGTTGCAAGCATTCACACTTCAGTATTTCGTCTCAACCCAGTAAAACATACTTGTCTGAAGGGCAACTAATACATTTTACTAATAGTCTGCCCCGTATATTAGACCGTGCATCATGTCTCTACTATTTTTTAACAAACTGGGTTCAGATTAAATTGGGGAAGACGTGGCGAGCACTAGAAAGGAAAATGATATTATGAGACAAGAGAGCAGAGTGGGTCAGGGAACAAACTGGGGTTAATAATATCATAGCTCAAACCAAAAATAAGAAATGTACATGGGTTGGACAAGTAGCCCGTAGACAGGATAACCGCTGGTCATTAATGGTAACTGACGGGATTCCCAAAGGAGGCAAATGCACGAAGGGGAAGCAAAGTTAGGTGAGCCAGTGAGAATAATATTTGTGCTTCAAAACATGTTTGTTTAGGTACATGACAGAGTTAACATAATCAAAATGAAAAGTAATCAGTAATTTGCATTCCCTTGCATTTTCTTCACTGCAACTCCTCGACTGTCATTCGTAGCTTGCCCAAGGGCTCCAGTACAGCAACTGAAATCTCATCTGCTGAGAAATGTTGCTGTTGAATTGTTTTCCACTTCTAGTAAATTCAGTTTGGTTTGACATCACAAAATATTGTGATCACTCTGGATAGACTTCTGCGAGCAGCAATGAAAACAAGGGGCTCCCATCAGCTTAAAATAACAGTTGTGGATACCAAGGTGTTCAAATTATTGAGAATTAGCGGTTGTGCACACCAAGGTGTTCAAATTATCGAGAGATTTCCCTCATAAAAATAAATAGGGCTATGCGCTTTTACAGTAATAATATTTGTTCTATGTAAAAGGCCTGACATATGCCAAGGAATTTTTAAAGATATGTTTATTCTTAACAGAACAATGTCTGAGTGCACTCAGTAGGTATAATCAGAGTTGGCCAGTGTTTGTACATGTTGACGATTTGAATGTGTACTAACAGCTATTTCCTTGATATTGTTGTGAAATATGTTGCCAAAAGGACTAGTTTTGTATGATACCCATGTCAAGAGGGAAGCAGACAGTTAGGAAGTAGTGAAGAATGAAAATGTGAATTCAGCTTCTGACATCCTCCATCGTTTGAGCAGTGTCTTTGATGACTATGCGCCATTGGCACAAAAACAAACTCATTTGTTCATCTGTCAACGCAAAGTATAAACACTTTGAGGGTCATTCAAAAAGTTAGCACGATTTGGTTCCAAACAAGTAAATACCTATTAGCAAAAGTTTTCATTCCTAGGCTTAGTTTAGTGAAAACCTACTTCACTTTTCTACAGAATCACTGCTAACTTTTTAGTACTTTTTGTACCGTCGCAGTAGTTTATTTAGTCAATTTGCATGAAAGATTGCCGCCTGGTAATTTACCCTGTTGCGAACAGTGATCTCGCGTTTCTCGCTGTCTTCAAATCGTACCCCGAGCCACTGTTTCAAGCGAAAGAACATAAGCTAATCACATGGTGCTGGCTCAGGACAGTACCATGTGATTAGTACCATGTGTAGGACAGTACCATGTGTAGGGCGTGCAATGTGTGTTCCCAACCAAAATATTTGGACTTCCCATTCGTTCTGACTCTGGTGCAAGGATGCGCGTTGTCATTAGGAGGATGATTCTGGATGTGAATTTGTGATGTCATCACCGTTTATTGTACTTTTTACTCTGCTGAGTTTTTCACAGTATATGTCAGCTGTAACTGTGGCCTACATTTCACAAAATCAAATACTAAAAATGCCCTTTTTGACTTGGAAAATGGTAGCCATCATTTTATAATTGGAGTAAGCTAATTGGATGAAATTTTTTTGGTTTTTGTGAAAAGGAGTGGTGGCACCACTGTGTTGGTTCTGCAATTGCGTACACTATCAAGCGTCGTCACCTGTGCAAAAATGTGCGAAAACAAATCATCCCTGTCCTATTGGTAGCAGTCCAAAAATGCTCATTCACTTGACATCCTTTGGTGTTTGAGTTCGTGAATAAGCAATTTTGGAACCCAGCATGAACAAGCTTTGTGATGTCTGAGCATATGAGCTACAATTGTGCAAATTCTAGTGAGGCCAACAAGGGGAACTTTGACTTACAGACCACTAACTGTTAGTCTTCAATCTATTGCAATATCTAGTCCACTTGAACATTTTGGTTGGTGTGGATGCTTGTTGGTGTGGCACTCCACTCTTTGTCGTGCACATTTGTGCAGCCATTTGGGAAGTCTCAACACCGTGTTCTCACACTTGTTTCACTCCTCACAATTGGTCCATAATTTAGGCACAACGCCCCATAGATTGGAGAAGCCAGTGGTTATTTTGCATGCAAAAATTTAATTACTATGTGCACCTCACAACAGGTGGGAGCAACAATATTTACAAAGGTTGTTGTCTGTGTTCCCAGACAAGCAAATGACAAGTTCTTTAGCGGAGAAGTAGCAGATTGTGCTGTGCATCTAACTCTTCAGTCTGACATGCAAATATTGAAAGATTAGGAAATGGCCCTTAATTTATGAATAACCATCGTAGAAAATTTCATTACACAGATTTGACTGCAATGATTACTCACTGCCTATTTTTTCAACATTGCTACCGTAGCTTCCAGCAATTCTCAGCTGTCTAATGTTACTAGTGTTCCATATGTCCCTATTGTATGTGCAGTGTTATGTGCAGTGTATTGTGAGTGCTGTTCACTGGTGAATAATTTCTTTCTTACAAATGAGTGCTTTTGGGAACACTAACATGCATCTTGATTCTCGTGTGTCAGCTGATCAACAGTCGGCGACCAAGGGCAAGGGTAGCTCAATCTCTGAACTTGTCATCCTTGACAACTTTCACAAGAATGTCGACTTGCTGAAAATGTGACTCAGGTTTTCATTATTCGCCAACTATTACTCAACGGAAGTGTCTGTCACTGAGACCTTTTTACCTCTTTTGAAACGTAAACCAAGTTTTCTTTTCAACATGATCCTGTAGGTGGTGTTTTCACAGGATGCACATGCTTAGCGCCACTGGAAGTTGATTTAGTTCGTCATAAAAAGATCTGACGCGCAGGCAAGAACACAGATATTAAACACAATATCGAAAACAATGTTATATGCAGGGATAGCTAGCACAACAGCTTGCGGTCAATTCTTTTTATTCAGTGAGATGTGGCTCTCGCCAATGTGTTGTCAAATATCATGTTGGGGCTCAAGCTAATCGTACCGAAACAGCACTTTATGAGGACATGTGTGGTGAGAAAGACAATGCGCAGCATGGTACCAAGTACTGTGCAAGGGGTGTCGGGTGTAAATATCATTGTCTGACTGAACGAGACAAGATACAAAGTTGCACAATTTCAGTGGACAATTTTATTGAACACATAACTATTACTGATTTTTTTTCTGCATATATTGTTCAACTCTGTGAGTGATAGCATTCCGTGTTTACATGTATACTGCTACATTCACGATAGTCAATAAACAATGTGCGCTTACTTGCTTTTTTTTGCCAGTTGAGGCCTCTCGATCACGTGGCCACGTAGCGGAAACATTTATAGTAATGTTAGGCTGCCGTGCGCGCGAATACCACCCTGCAAAAGCAGCGAATGAACGCCCATAAACCTGCGGGCAAGCAGCTGAAAACCTTCATGTACAAGTAGCTGAAAGCCTTTCTAGCCCAACGCTCTTCCCCCATTTCTCTCAATCGCTTCTCCAATTTTATCTTGCT